CCGCTCCACCCCCCCCCGGCGCCCCCCCCCCCATGGCCCTAGAGCCTCTTTAATCCACCCCACACGCCTCCGTCAGTCAGCCTCCCCCTGTTCTCCACTGCCATCCAGATGCTGTTTAACACTGCTCTTCCATTCTGAGGCTTGCCGTTCCAGGCAGGCCCTCTCAAGGCCCACGAAGCAGTTCGCCTTTCTGCAGACACTCCAAACTGCCACCCCCACAGCCTCACAGTCCCTCATATGGGAATGTCCTCTCCCCTGCCTGGCAGATGTCTGCGCCCCAGCAGCAGTCCCCAGCCCCTCTGCTCCCCCCAGGCTCCCTTCCCCACCCTTACTGTACCCTGTCTGTGCTTTGTGGTTGCCCTCCCAGGCCACTCCTCCCTCTCAGGTCCGCCCAGCCTCTGGCCTGCAGGCTGACTCATCCGTTTCTCCAGAGATGCTGCTGGAACCCGACCGGAGCGTGCTCTGCCCTGCGAGGCAGTCTGGCTTCTCTGCTCCAGGGCCGTGGGTGCAGCTGGGCAGGGGAGGATGAGCTCTGCTGTCTGCCAGGAGCCGGACGGGATGGGAGTGGCACTGCCAGTCAGGGAGCAGGCGGTGGCCCGCCCGGTGCGGCCGTGTGGTGAGAGAGGGCAGCCTCCTGTCCGGGACTACACAGCAATCCGGGCGAGGCTTGGTGCATCACCCAGATGCCTCCCTCTGAGGCTTCGTTCTCACATGTCCTGGGAGAGGCCAGGGGCAGGTGGGGTGGCGGTGTCCCTGGGCTCTAGGAGCCTGAGGTGGCCCTCCTCCCTCAGTGAAGGACAGCTCGAGGCTGGCAGTGCCTGTCTTGGATGCTCTGGTGCTCACACTCATGGACCCGGGGATCGCCTGAGTCATCGCTGAGCCGGCAAACACATTTAGCTCCGTTCATCGTCCCTAATAAATCAGTTTCTCCAGGTCTCTCGCACCTGCCGGTCCTCCACTCCAGCCCGTCCCTATCTCTGGCCCCCAGCATCTGGGCACTGGGACTCTGGATGGGGGGCACCTACTCCCCAGGCACCTGGCAGGGGTCACCCTTGCCCTCTCGTCCTCCGCCCCAGGCCCTCCTGGGCCGAACCTGTGCTCCGTCATACTGACGGCCTCTGTTCAGCAGCCACATCACCGGATGCCAGGTCGGAGTAGGGACCGCCGAGCCTGCCGCCCAGCTCCTGCCAGGCCCGGCCTCCCTCACCTGGCATCCTCTTGGCCCACTGGAGCTTGTGTTTGGGGTCCGAGGGCACCCCAGAACCGTCTTGCCTTGCCCTGCCTTCTCTTGCCCCACTGGCTGGAAGGCCCAGGCCTCTTGGCTTACCTTTCATGGCTCCTCTTCCAGGAAGCCTTTCCGGAGTTCCCCTGACCCCCGACCCACACAAAACCAAGGACATGATCTGTCTTGTGGTGATGAAGATAGCGGCCCTTAACATAACCTGAGAGGCTGCCCACGCTGTCCTAGCCTGCCACGTGGATTTTTTTTTT